CACCCTTCCTCCAGTCTCCCTTCCCTTATATTGACCTCATGACAATGGCAATATCACCCAGCCTAATGAAGGGAGCTTTGACTCTTGGAAACTTATTCCCTGAAACTCTTGTTGGCCTCTAATCTGCTACTGGACTCAAATCTAACTGTCCCAGTATCACCAAGTAAGTGTCATGCAAAATGTAGATCTGAACATGGGTCTCCTCAATCCACACTGGTCTTCATGCCATTGGTCCATCTACTTCAGCATGGTCTGCTCTGATGCAGGTGATCTCTAGAGATTCAGACAGAGAAAGATCCTTTCCAACACCTGTTTCCTTAGACCTTCTCGGTTTAAACCTTTATCCTTTGGCACACAAAGCATGATTTCTCTACCATCAGTCTATCAGTGTCATCATTGTCTACTCAGACTGGCAGTGGTTCTCCAGGGTTTTATGTAGAGGATTTTGCCCATGCCATGCTGTGTTTCTGAGCCGTTGGGCCTGGCTAGGGGGGTTCTCAAGGGTTTCCAGGTCCCCCTAAATTTCTGGAGAACCCCTTCCTAAATCCCACATGGCTCCGCCTCCATAAATAGTGACAATGGCCTGTGACGTCACTGGCTCCTCCCTATGATGTCACTGGGCCTCGGTTCTTTTAAGGACCTGACACAGCAATGCCTCTGGCCCGGGAAATGGGAAAGTCTACGCCCTTGTGACTCAGGAAATATCTGGGGACTTCGAGGGTGGAGCCAGGATGTGGCATCACTTTCGTGATATCACTAGGGTTGTCAGCTGAGGCCAACAGGGCAGAAGGGAGTTTTGGCCATCACATTTAAGCATTCCTTTTAAAAGTATCCATTTTAAATGCTTTCCCTCCATTGGAAATAATGGAGGATAGGGGCACCTTCTTTTGGGCTCATAGAATTTGACCCCCCCCCAGTCAAATCTTTTTGAAACTTCGGGGGGGTTAGGAGAGGCACCACCAGCTATGCTGTAAATTCAGTGTACCTACCTAAAAAAACAGCCCCCCTAGAGCCCCAGATACCCATGGATCGATTCTCCATTATACCCTATGGGGACTGGTCTCCATAGAGTATAATGGAGTGTGGCTAGCAGCCATCTCCCCCCTTGCTTTCTGACAGCCCTGAAGTCGGGGAGGGGTGCCAAACCAGGGGATCCTCTGCCCCCAATTGGGGATTGGACCTGCAGTTCTCACTAGTTTTAGTGTTGCTGTGATTGTGCTGGATTACTGTTTGTCTTTTTTGGGATCTGCCTTCAGACCTCTTCTGTTTAATGTATAATATAAAGTTAAAAATAAATATAAATACATAGTGCAAAAAGATGTAAAGTGATAGTGCACTTTTCTATGAGAAACACCTAATTACAGTGTTAAGATGTCACTGGGGTAGGGTGCTTGATTGTATTCAAGTTTTCTTTGTTTAATTTAAACACTAGTTTAAAATTTTTGATTTTAATTAATATATTTTTTAAAAAAACTAATCCTTTATGGAATTTTTCTTATGGACCAACATGTCTATATGTGTTTTCTGATTTAACTGTGAGAGTCTTTTCAGAAGTATGCCCTAAACAGATTTTAATCTCTGCATGCCATTCTTGCAAGAGAACCCCTAACTCTGCCACCCTTAATTGCCAGAGTTTTTCTTCTGTTTCAAAAGACTCTGTCTGTTCTCATTTAAAGCTGAAATTCCCTCCCAAAACACCTACTTAGAGTAACCTCTACTGTCATTTCTTTGAAATCCTTCTTCAAATCCCCCTTTTCTGTGAAGTCATTGTGGTAAGCAGTGGGGTACCACAGGGATCAGTACTGGGTCTGATGCTTTTTAACTTGTTTATTAATGATTTGGAGTTGGGAGTAAGCAGTGAAGTGGTTAAATTTGCAGATGACACGAAGTTGTTCAGGGTGGTGAAAACCAGGGAGGATTATGAGGCACTCCAAAGGGATCTGTTGAGGATGGTCGAGTGGGCATCAACATGGCAAATGGGGTTCAATGTGGCCAAGTGCAAAGTGATGCACATTGGGGCCAAAAATCCTAACTATAAATACATGTCGATGGGGTCTGAACTGGCAGAGACTGACCAAGAGAGTCGTAGTAGATAACTCACTGAAAATGTCAAGACAGTGTGCGACTGCAATAAAAAAGGCCAACGCTATGCTGGGGATTATTAGGAAGGGAATTGAAAACAAATCAGCCAGTATTACAATGCTCCTGTATAAATCAATGGTGCGACCTCATTTGGAGTACTGTGTACAGTTCTGGTCACCACACTTCAAAAAGGATATTATAGCATTGGAAAAAGAGCAGAAAAGGGCAACTAGAATTATAAAAGGGTCAGAACACTTTCCCTATGAAGAAAGGTTAAAACGTTTGGGGCTCTTTAGCTTGGAGAAATGATGGCTGAGGTGTGACATGATCGAGGTTTACAATATTATGCATGGGATAGAGCAGGGCATTGGCGTGATCCAACATTGGCTTCTCTTATGTTCTTATGTTTAACCACTTAGTCTTCATCTCCGTGGTGCAGCAAATGTTTGTGTACCTGCATTTCATTACATTTAAATCACCATCCTCGCCTCTCTTATTCTTTCTTGTTCTTGTTGTTTGTTATCCTTCTCTGTTGTTTCCCCCAAAGTATGGATATTAAGTTACTTTGGGCAGGGCAGGGATCCCCCAAACCCATTGTAATAGTGGTACATCACTATCGTAATGGAAGTTGTAAACAGTGTTATTTGTATGAAAGAGAATGGTAAGTAAATGAGATCTCTACTTGTAACAGTAATGAAAATAATTTCTAGCACTATGACAATGGTAGTGTCAGTGGGGCAGCATATCCACAGCTCCTAATGGACCAAGGCTGAAGCAAGAGAGATGATTATATTGCTGTGTGTCCCTCCCAATATAAAGGTATGAAAATAATATTGTTACATGTGTGTTCCAGCTCAGAAATCAACAGAATGTAAGCAAAATTAAATGAAGTTAACAAGGTAACACAGCCTCCAAAGAATTAATTATTATTACACTGTTTTTAAAATCCCTGGAATAGCATTGGTGTGAAGGCCAAATTCTGTTGCTTGCATTTTTCATTATCATTATATTAAACAATGACCAGTAGGTAACCATGATTCTTGTACACCAATATTCCACACAGCAGCCACAAAATAATGAATGTGCTATTTACAAATGTTGCTTTTAAATGTTATTTTGAGAGATGCTTTTTTTAAAAAAAAATGTAAGTCCTGTTGATCAATTTAAGGCAAATCATATACTTTTATGTCTTTTGTTCCTCTGAAATTTCTGATCTTAAAAGCATGAATAGCTATGATAGTTGGGGTGGAAAACCAGGTAGTGAAAATACAAAATTTTAATTTCTGCAAGCACATTCAAATTAGAAGAATTTGCACATTTTTCTCCCACACATAACTTCTATCCTTTTTATGGCTCCATCTGTGATTCTATTCTATCATGAATAGACTTCCTGATGGCACCAGGTTTTTGGCCACTGTGTGACACAGAGTGTTGGACTGGATGGGCTTTTGGCTTCTTTTATGTTCTTGTGACCACAGCTTATAAAACCATTGTGACTTCAGTCAGCAATAATGTAGACTCTCCTGAGTGTTAAGTAATGGGAATATCCTTTGGTGTATGTTACTGATTTAATAAAATAACATTCAATGCTTTTTTAAAGATGATAAAAGCCTTGAGAACTTCAAGTGTATCAGATCATTTATAAAACCAATAATCATTTCCAGACAGTTAAGAAATGAAGCAGCCTGTCACCAGCTGCTTTAGAAACATGCAGATAAACACAACCATTCAAATATCTATTGCTGACAGAGAAGTAGATATGAGAAAGGAAGATGACTGAAATAGATATTTGAGATGGAGTGTATGGATGTTTGACAGGATACTCATTCTGGTATAAACACTGTTCTTGTTTTTTTGTTGCAGAAGACGATGTGTCAAATGTTCAAATAATGTGTGCCTGGTGCCAGAAAGTGGGAATCAAGCGCTATTCCCTGAGTATGGGGAGTGAAGTGAAATGCTTCTGTAGCGAGAAATGCTTTGCAGCTTGCAGAAGAGCATACTTCAAGAGAAACAAGGTAAGAGAATAGAAGCATAGGATAATTAGTTGAAGAAACAGCCAGTGTGTTATGGTCGTTAGTGTATTGATCTAGAACCAGAGAAACCTGGGTTCTAATCCCTATTCTAACATTAAGATCACCTTGGACCAGTCACCAGATTTTAGCTTAACCCACCTCACAGATTTGGTTGTGAGTAAAAAGGAGATCTATATACACTTCCCTGAACTCCTTGAAGGAAGCGCGGCATAAAAATGTAACAGAGCCACAGACTAAACATATATGGAACTTTGAGTCTAGTAGCCATTTAATATTAACAAACCTTCCCCCCCCCCATTTTCCCCGCTCTCCGTTCCTCAGAAATTTTATATTGGTATTGCCTATTTCCACAACTTTTACCAGTGGTGTTCTGTGAAGAAAAAATTATCATCAGGCTAGACTAGTAGTACTGTGACATATGAAATAAGAGCCACAAATACTCTAACTGTACCTATAGTTCTGAAAAAAATTATTGTTGAACGTTGGGTAATCTTAAAAAGAACTAATGTAGTAGGGAATAATGAATACAAATCTCATTTAGGGCTGATTCACACCTTTCAAAGTTCATACGGCAGACAGATGGCCAACAAGAGGACTTTGCTGGACTTCCATGCTGAGAATTCAGTTCATAGGTTCACACAGGCCCTAGTTGGATTGGGATCATGGTATATGAGAAGGGGACATGAGGAGGGGCCATGGCTCAGAGGTAGAGCATCTCCTTTACATGCAGAAAGTCCCAGATTAGATCTATGGCATATCCTGTTAAAAGGATCAGGTAGTAGGTGATGTGTCTGGGTGTATATTGTTAACCATTTCAGATATTTCAGTGTATTGTTTGAATACTGTAAGTGGTACTTAAAATATTCATTTTTCAGGGGCTAGTAAAAACTATGTAAAAATTGAAATGGAGTTATAATCATGGCCGGCTGCGAGCGCTCTCTGTGGGG